AAATCCGCCTGCCTCTGCCTCCCAAGTGCTGGAATTAAAGGCGTGCGCCACCACCGCCCGGCGGCTAAGAGGTGTTTATACTCTTGCCTTTCAGGTAATTAGGAGGGGGAATGTTTGGGAAATCTCAGGTGAATGTTTGCCCTATAATAATAATAATAATAATAATAATAATAATAATAATAATATAATAGCCCAGAATGAGGATGGAGAGATAGTTCAGCAACTATTAAAAGCACTTGTAGCCGGGCGGTGGTGGCGCACGCCTTTAATCCCAGCACTTGAGAGGCAGAGGCAGGCGGATTTCTGAGTTCGAGGCCAGCCTGGTCTACAGAGTGAGTTACAGGACAGCCAAGGCTACACATGGTGCTCAGATGTACATGCAGGCAAAAGACTCATATGCAAAACTTAAATCTTAAAAATAGAAGTTCAGAATGAGGGCTACAGAGATGGCTCAGCAGTTAAGAGCACTGACTGCTCTTCCAGAGGTCCCGAGTTCAATTCCCAGCAACCACACAGTGGCTCACAACCATCTGTAATGGGATCTGATGCCCTCTTCTTGTGTGTATGACACACCAGTGTACTCATATACATACAATAAATAAAATCTTTAAGGAAAAAAAAAGTTCAGAATGAGCTGGGTGTGACAGCTCATACCTTTAATCTCAACACTCAGAAGGCAGAGGTAGGCAGATCTCTGAGAATTCAAGGCTACCTTGGTCTACATAGTGAATTCTAGGACAGCCAGAGCTATGTAGTAAGACTCTGTCTCAAAAGAAGAGGGAGAGGAGGAGGAAGAGCAGGATGAGGAAGTCCAGAATGGGCTGTGTTCAAGTGTGCATCTGTCATTCCAGCAGGATTGGGAAGTCAGCCAACTCAGACTACACAGCAACAGGGAGGAGTAATTAAAAGAGAAAGAGCAGAATCCTAAATGAGTTCACTTTTCTTTTTTTTTTCCTTTTTAAAAAGGCCCTCCTTTATATAGAAGGTTCTTGCCCTGATCACATTTTTCTGGTGCTGTTGTGGAGAGTGGAGATGGAGTAGAAGGGCCAGAAAGAACAATTTGAATGCCTCCTCTGTGCCATGGATCCTGCTTGCAGTCAGAACTGGCACCAATTCACTATTTCATGAATTTCTTCCATCCTTGAAATTATGTACTCTCTAAAGGTAGGCAGTCCTTTCAGGAGGTAGAACTTCCATGAAGGGAGTAATATGGCTACGAGGACCTTTCACCTGGGACTTGCTCACATGCACCTGAATTCTAAGAAAGCTATAATTGCCCAGTAGAGGCCATCTATACCATTAGATCTTCCTCCAAGCGCAAGGTGATCCAGCAGGCTCTGCAGGAAGAAGACAGGGTATGAGGCTCTGAAATTGCTTATGGAGCCTGCTGGCCAAGCCTCTAACTTGGCAGCATGGAGGCAATGAAGGAAAGCAGTGGCCTGTATTGGCTCACACTCAAAGCCTGTAAGGTGCTGCCTTGAGGACCAACAGTAAAGTCTAGAGTGAGCATACAGCCCCTCAATGAGCCTGTCACACCCCCATTTTGGAGACTGTGGCCTCTAAAAAGGAAAAGGCTTTTCTGTCAGCACACCCTGGGCCAAGTCTTGGGTGGCCTAGGTGGAGGACCCAGCTGGGCCCAGGATATAAACATCTTTTGAGCAAAACTGCCATCACTGTCTTGGAAGCTTTGTATGTCCCAAGAAGTCTGGGGCCCTGGGCTGATGTCTGCTAACAGTGACGATAATAAATAAATCTAAACTACTTAAGCAAAGCTTGGAGTTCGGCTTCCTAGAGTCAGTTATCAACATTTATGGAGCACATCTTGTGGACAACACGCTATTCTAAGTGGTTTACATACATTATGTTATGCTTACAACATCTCTATGGGATGAGTTCTATCTTACTTCCACCTTGGACTTAGAAGCTAAAGCACCTACTGTGATCACAGTAACAGTAGAGTAACACTTGAACTCAGAACTGTCAGAGTCCAAAAATCTAATCAAGTTCTACAAGAGCTGCCAAGGGCCAGGAACCCCAACCTCTACCAAGAGACAGCGCTCTGCAGTAACAGCCGCTGAGTCCCAGAAGCACTGACTTAGCTCTGGATGTCAGCCAGCACTAGGACTCCGCTGGTGGCAAGAACAGCAGTGCCTCTGTGAGGTCCTCTGTAGGCTAAAGAGAAGGAAGAGTCTCCGTAGGGACTGTGCTCCATGGCTTTGCACTCGCTCAGGGTGAAGTCTAACTCCTCAGTGCAGAGCTTGGAAAGGCCTCTGCAATCTGACCCTGACAGGTTCTCCAGCTTCACACCACAGCACAGCTTACCCCCAGGGCTCTTAGAAAGACCAAGCCTCCCTTGCCAATCTGTATCTTGACCTGGTAGTACTTGTTGTTTTGTGAACTAAGGGCAGGTGCTGTTTGGTCTTGCTGAGACCATGTTTTTTGGAGCATCATGTACCTTGAGCAGCTCAGAACAGTGGGAACTAGAGTCAGAAGACCTAGAACCGAAGCCTATCTCCTTTGCTTCTAATTGTGAGACCTAGTGTAGACTATCTGACACCAATAAATCTATTTCTTCATTTGATAACATGGATAGTACCTTCTCCCCACTAAGAGATGAAGGCTGAGTGGGACGATAGGATGATACCTCAGAAACCACTGGCACCACGTCAGGCACAGAACAGGCACTTAGAGGGTATCAGGCTCCACAGGGAGATGGGAGACCAATGAAGAGGCTAAACTAGGCTGCTCGTTGTACTGCAGGGCCTTCAAGCTTTGAGCCAGATCCTAGCAAAGCTTGGAGTTAGGTTTCCTAGAGTCAGCTGTCATATCACAGAGCACTTCCTTAATCCCATCCAGGAGACAAGAAGGTGGGGGATTCTGGGTGTGGTAGAGGTACACTTATAATCCCATCACTCAGGAGGCTGAGGCAGAAAGACTGCTGCAAGGTCAAAGTCAAGCTGGGACACAGCGGGTATTAGGTTAGCATGGGGGAAAGGTGGTGGGAAGACACATACTGCCACAGAGGTCACCAAAGATGTAGTAGCACTGCTCGGAGAATGTGATCTTGTTGACAGTATGGCGGATGAAACCAGCTTTCAGCAGGTTGCTAGCATACTTGCGGGCCTCTCGTCGGTCGGTGAACCCTTCCACGTTGTGGTACAGCCAGTCTACCACATCTGAGCCTGGGGACAAGGCTGCCAGTTGATTTGGGTTCCTCTGGCTTCACAGAAGCTATGAGGCTAGGGCAATTAACCCAGGGAGTAGCCCGAGGAAGACCTAGGTGTGCATACCCCGCCCTCCCACCTGCCTGCACCATGCCTCCACAACCTGTCCTTCACCTTGTAGTAAGGCTCTCTCACCGATAAAAGCATTGGGAATGGTAATCTTGAGCCACATGCGGTCTCGGACCTCCAACCCTGACTCAGGGGAGGCCATGGCTTTGACGATGGCTGCCATGTCACTGTGGATGGAGAGGTGGAAATCATCTAGGCCTGGGGGAAGGGGCAGAGTAGTGAGAGAGAGGACTGTGGAGTTGGGAAAACAGGAGTGATGTCCTAGTTCTCCCACTCAACAGTGACAAGCCCAGTGTCAAGTCCTTGGACCGCTTCCCTCCTGTAAAGATGATAGATTAGTGTCTTCACAAGGACATGCGAAAGAATAACTCAATAATTTCATGAAGGTACCTAAGCACATGCATGTGTTATGACAGTAAAACAGTGCTTCCTTCATGCCACACAGTACCAATGTTCTAGTTGGAGCCTCTTATCAAACCCCACAGGAACCTGGTGAAGGAACCTGGTATATATACTGGTAGCCCCATCATATGAGAGGAAACTGAGGCTCTGTGGGCGCTCACCACACGTTAAGAAGCAAACAATGCTCAGGGAGGCTCTGGTGCCCGCTGGGGAAGGGCTGCGGTGTGAGGTCTGTGGAATGAGTACAGCCCCCTCAAAGGCTCTCCCTGACGCACAAGTGGGTCCTCATCAATCCTCCCACCTGGCCTTGTCTGCTGGGTCCAAGGGACAGGCTTGAATACTCACGTTCTGTATCGGGGATGGAGCTGGTGATAGAGGAGCTGGTGGAGGTGATGGTGCTTAGGGAGGGGCTCATGCCATAGGCGGGGAAGGTGCCTGTCATGGCTGCAGTGTGGGAGACCCAGGCTGCAGGGTCAATGGGACGGATGGGCTCACCTGCAGGGAGGATGAGGAGTCACAGGCTGCCCGCCCACCTTGCCTATTATGGTGCTGAATGTGTAAGGAGCAGACAGTAGGAGTACAGCTTACATAAGCCAACGTCAACTGTAGGGATGAATGCTTGTCTACTTACTCCGGGGTAATGTGAAGCAGCCACGAGGACTTGGGTCCCAGCACTTGGCTACAGTCAGAGTGATGGGCCTGAAAACAAGGTTGTCCTAGTAAAGGCAGGCTGTATGAAGGCCAGACCTAGTCTCTTGCCAGAAACGTCTCTGCCTATCTTCCCAAAATCCCATTCTGCTCATACCCTTGTGTACACCCATCTTCCCAGAATCCCATTCTGCTCCTACCCTGGCTTGTGTACACC